CTTACAATTAGATAACAAAGCCAGAAGAAAAAAGCATTGAAATAAGGTAATCTAGAAATGCACCCTCGATATGAAAGCATGAAGACATTGCACTGCAACCTCCGCAACATTATGCGAACCATTTGAAGACGGTGAGCAATATCTGCAGATCAGTAGTTAAGGCTGCTCAAGGTAATTGGATCTCATTCTCATAAACGGAAAATTATGGCAAATATGTACCCACTAAAGGACTTGAAAACAAAAATTAGAACCTAAATCTTCCTAGAAATGTTAAAGATAATCGAGTACAATGAAAAAGATACTTCCAGCATTCTCTTGGAAAAATAAGATGGTTGGACCTGCAAAAATAGCAAAAAACACTGCTTTTTAGTACCCATGTAATCAACTAAAAACTGAACTAGAAACAAAATTAAATGGAGAAATAAGCATTTTAAAGAATTATACGAAAATCTTTTCTTATCATGTCAATGATCAAAAAGTGTCTCCAATCATTTTCTATTCTAGTTTTACACCATAGCAATTCAGGTTATGTACCCAATACAAACCCATCCCATCAATCTCAGCAGCTACTTGAGTCCTCATTCAGTTCAATTTAGCTCTGGGTTCATGAAATTTTTCAAAAAGCATGGTTATTTTCATTTTATTCCTCGAAATTGCCTGGTTCCCATCTTGGGCTATATTCAGTGAAGGCAAAACCATAAACTTCTAATCTTGTTTCAAGTTATAACAACAAAAACTAAGCAAATTATACATTATAATTTGCAAGCGAAAAAACAATGCAGAAAAAGGGAGCAAATTTTTCAAAAAGACGCAAAATTAAGAACCATTAACAATTCATTTATAAAACTCAATTTCAATTCTAAATCCCACCACCCCAAAAATGCATGCTTACACAGCAAAAACCACTAGCTCCAAAACCCAAACCCTAATTAGTTCAAACAAACCAAAGAATCAACAACTTAAAAAAAAGAGTAAATTAAACCAAAAAAGGAGATCGGATGTCACCTCGGCAGTCGGGGAAGAGCTTGATGAACCACGCATGGAGCTTAACCCCATCAGAGGATCGGAGCCAAACATCCTCGTAGGTGAGGCCGAGGCGGGCGGGCGTTATCTGGTAGGACTTGGTGACACCCGGAAGCACCGGTACGTAAACGAGCTTCTCCTGGAAGGCGACGAGCAGCGCCATCCCCGCTACCACTATGCCCCCAACTCCGTACATCAACAGGCTCATGTACGACACCATTTTCTGCTCCGCCGCTGCTGCTGCTGTTGCCGTTGATCGTCAAGTCAACCTCCGTTTCTGGCTCCCCCTTGTATTTGTAGATGTGTAATGGTCCTAATGGACTGTTTGGATTCCGACTTTTTCTATGTCTTTATTCGGGCTTTTGTTTCTTCTTCTGTAGCAACCGGGTAGGTTCGCTGTGGGTGATGTTAGTATTGGGGACGAATTTGGGATAAATTTATCTCGAAGGGGGTCTCGGTACTTTTTGAGGTTTACGAGGGTCCCTCTTTTTAATAAGGACAGTCTGTTTTTCTTTTTTGCCAATTAAGGACTTTAAAAATTAACAATTTATTTCCATTAAAAGGGGAGCTATTTCCATCTGTTCCTGAGCCCACGCATTTTCTTTTTCCCAACATAAAAATGCACTTAAATTACCCTATAACATTTTATAAAAAAGTTAAATGTAGTTCGGCTAAAGATCAACTACTCCTACAAAAGTAGGGTACTTCGTATAAAATGAATTATCAAACAACATTTTTTTTTTTTACCAGGTAGATGGTTAGGAAGTTAGTAAAGTTAGTTTGTTAGCAGCTGGAATTTTTTCAGGAAAGTGAACGTTCACCCCCTCATTTGAGGCGCGCGACCATTAGGTCGCAAGTTGGTGGAGTTCACGGCGGTGGCAGAGCTCGAAGCCCTGACCTCCGCCTCACCCAAGCCCTAAAGCTTGGGGCTAACCAATTGGACTACAGGCCAACTTTAAATAGCATTCTCCTACTGTTATATATATATGTATATAAGTTTTGTGTTTATTCACTTTATTTTTTAAAGAGTAAGGGAAAATTACTTTAAAATTATATTATTTTAATAAAATATTATAATAATGACTAAAAATATTTTAGTTTATGTTTTAAAAATATGATATTTTAATTTTTTTCAATAAAAATTTATTAAAATGACATAATTTTAAAATATTTTTTTTAATTTTTAAAAGGTAAAGTAAATAAATATTATTATATATATTAATTTAATATTTTTATTTTAAATTATTCAATAAAGAAGTTATTTTTTAATCTACACTAATATAAATTTCAAAAGCATTTTACAATTCAAACTAACCTGAACTACAAAATACTAATTCATTTGATAGGAGTTGGATTATTGATATTAGAAACCTTCCCCTTATCAAATGGTTTTCTATTTTAAAATTTTAAATAATTTAAATTGTAAAATAAGAGTCAAAATAAAAATAAATTGTTTCTTGCACTACAAATTGCACTAATCTTTTTATTCCTCCGCGTTTTATTAACGACATTTTAATCATTTCAAATTTTACATTTAAAATAACTAAAATACCCTTTTAATCATAAGTATTTCCCAAGGCCCAAAAATAAATAATTAGTATTTTCTTTTTTCGAACAAAGAAAAATTTTGAGAAAAAGAGAAAATATTACAAATGTCCCAACAGACACTTGAATCTTTATATAAATCAAGGAGTGTAACATACAGCCCACAAGGGGCTACTAGTGCAATAATTAGTATTTCATTTAATCATCAGCATTTTGTCAATGACATAAACATGATTTAGAAGGGATATATGATAGTTACAATAACATGTATAAATATACGTTTATAATCAGTTATATCATTAAATAAATATATATATATATATACAATAATATAAATAAATTATTAAATAAAATAATTAATTATATAATAACATATTATAATTATAAATTTGTATTGTCTTATATATTTATAATAATTTATAATGTGATCCTAATATTGTAATTATGTAATTTTCAAATTTACAACAAACTGACTTGACTGAGAGAAAACCTTGAAGCAATTTACTAAATGCCAACTTGCTTGGGCGGAGCCGCAGTTCTAGGTTTGTACTAATTAAATTGTATTTATTAGTACCGCACTTAGATCTCCTTTTTCTCTTCTTAAATCGTTGACAACCTGAAATGCATATTACAGCCATCACCATGCCAGCTTTTCTCCCTTCAAATCCTTTACCTAACATACAAGATTACTTTCCAATTATTTTTTAATTTCCCATTATCATGAAAAACAAACAGGAAAATGGAGAGCTCATCTGGAACAGGAGAAAAAGTCACATTCCACATTTTCCACATAAAATCATCTTAAAATAATTAACCTTATAATAACAAAGTCAGGCATCACCAAAATTAAGATTTCAAGCATAATCCATGTTTTTTTTGGCCTTAAAGCACAATCCACGTTGGTATCCCTACGATAAACAAGAGTAACATCAGGCAGAGTGATAAAGCCAAGGATGAATTGCCAGTTCCGATTTGTCACCGGACAACTGAAGCATAGTGCTGAGTTCCATTGCACGTAATCTTCTTACTGCTTTGCATGTTTGCAACAGCAAGAGGAGAGATGCCTAATGACATCTGTGCTGGCTGCTGGAAAATGACATCATTGTTAGAGGTTCTTGTGGTGTCTGAGCAGTTTGCTCTTGGACCAACATAGTCAACAGTTCCTGAGTAATGACTGATGAATTCTGAGGTTTCATTCTTTTGATCAGGTTGTTGGAGGTTCTTTGTGCTGAGAAAACGTCCACCAGATCCCCTGACCCTATTTACTGCATGGCGATGCCGGGATTCATGGAGGTATGGCTGCATGTAATTTAAAAGTAATCATGAATGTTACGTTTAGAAGAATGCTAGGTACAGAAGCAGTCTGATCATACCAATACCAGTTATATGCATTTACAATTAGACGATGCTGTTGTTAACAGTATATAGATATTGTTTTCGTTGGATTTGAAAAATCAGAATATCTACTTCAAAACAGCAAATGAAGCCCCAAGGGCTCACATAATAGCCAACATGAGTTTACATACCTTACGACTTTTGACAATTTTGTTTTGTGCCTCGAGCTTTGCACGATACTGTCGTCTTCTGAGAATCCCATGATATTGTTTAGCATTCACATAAATAGGTCCATCCTCTGAAAGATCAAGGGGCAGTGGAATTCGAGTAGGCTGAGTCCCCAGCATCTGAGGTCCCATCTGGGTCTGAATACAGTCAAGTTTGAGTTGCATGAGAACATATTAAGAGCAAAGGCCAAAAGAATACAGATTATAATTATGGGCATACCAAGCAATTTAAGGCTAGAGAGGAAAAAGAGGAAAAATGAGAGAACACAACTCAAGCCTATCAAACTCACAGCTTTAGGAATACAAATTGTTCTAGATGGCATAAGGCAAATAGTTCTACAAATAATGAAGAAACCATCTTCTTTAACAGATATAGGAAATTACTTATGTGTAAACAGTGTAGGAAAAATGTCCCTTTTAATGACGTCTAGCTTCCTTGCACAACAATAACTTTGTAGGATAATCTATCTGCAAAAGTATAAACTAGTGCAAGAGAAATAATAACAAAAATCCAAGAACTTACAAGAACCTGTTGTCCATACGGAGTATATAACCCACCAAAGTATGCATCAGCATAAGGATATCGAGCAAAAGCCTGACATGTGATCAAATTATTAGTTCAACAAAAAGAATAGAAAACAGTAATACAATACAAAGAGAGCCTAAAACTAAGAGCCTATCCTACCATTGAATTGTTGTTATTATTAATATGTGTAGGATTGAACATAGGATCTGAGTTGCTGAGCATGAAAACAGGCTTCAGACCCTCAGTGCCCCTTTCACAGTATTCATCTTCACCTGAGTACACGAGAAAACAGTTACAATGTAGCTAAGGTTGGCTTATATCTTAGCCTATGTAATTGTTATGACTAATAGTCTAAGCATTGAAAAGTTGGAATAAGGAAACCACATTAAGGGCATTTTAGCAACAATGTGAACATTTTCAACAGCTAGAAAAGGATTCATCATTTGCATTCCATTTATTTACTTGACATTTCAAGAAAGGAATAGAATCAAGAGAAATAGTAATTCCTCATTCAATATACATGCAATATTCACCTTTGGAGACTAGAATATTACTAGAAATGAAAAGAAAAAAATCTCTGATATAAAATAACTCTAGATGGAGTGGGGAACCAAGTATAAATCATGCAGAATGAGATTGATTAAGCATATAAATAACAGTAAAAGGATTCTAACAAAAGTTCGCATTTTCACCACCTATCCAGTTAACAATTAAGCGTCAAATTGAACACTAAGAACCCTAAGGGACCAGGGAGGTACTTGTTTAGTATTCAATTACATGGCAGGAATACTGGTAAAAAAAAGAAGGAAAACCAATACAGGACAAATCATTTACAACAAAATCATATATCCATAAGTATCAATACCAGATTCTGAAGAATTGCATTGAGAATTGGAGCCTCCCATGACACCCACTTCATGATGAGATTGATCAATTAAATGAACTGTGGATGATTCTTGGGCTGATAGTTGGGAACCTAGAAACTTTGCAACATGAAAAGATTGGGGTGGAGATTCAATTTTCAAGCTTATATTGGACAAAGACTGTGCAATCCGGTCTTCATTTGAATTCCACCACATTGGATAACTAATAGACAAATGGGGCTGTGAATCAACAGAAATTTGACCGAGATTTTTCTTGGGCAAGTTTTGAACCCGAACAGCCATCTATTTTACAGAGTTTCCAAAAGCACTGCCAGAATATCCTTAACAGCAGACAGATTCTTTATGGCCTCTGGGAGACTAGCAACTAAGGAAAAACACAAGAAGTAATGAGCAACAGCTGTCATAATTATACACAACGTAGAGATAACCTAAAATGATCTCAATCATCATATGAAAAGAGCACTGCAGAATACAGAGACAAGGATGAAGGCTGAAGGACGACAACTAAAAAAAAAAAAAAATGGAGAGGTTATATGGTTATGTTTCCAGTAAAATACTCTTCAACACATAAAAATAACCTCAAAAACAGAAGAATTAGGAAGGCTTGTTAAAAGAAACCCACCATCCAAATCTCGAAACTTGGAAACCAGTAGGACTAACATGCTCTGAATCCCCTTAACTCAACAATTATTCTTTTGTAAAAATTTTGTTTTGGCACGGTGGAAGCATACTTAAAGCATCAAGATGCACAGCAAGTCAACCCCACTAAAATTGGGTTAATGCTCTGCATGCACCAAGAAGCCACCAAGAAGCCGGATATACGGAAACAAGTTTATGCCTTTATTTACTGTGCCCCAGAAAATCAACGCCTTGGAAAAAAAATGAAAAGAAATTTCCTATTTAGTAAAAAATGAACAAGCATAACTAAGGCATTTGTCTACCTGCAAAAATACAGAAAATCAACAGAAGAACCTAAAGGGAACTGATGGGTATCACAAAAAGAAAAACAAAAAATGTTAGATCAAAATCCAGCAAAGCAAACTCATCAGAATTCACGCATGTTTTTCGTAATCCATCAATTCAGCTTCCTTTGACATAACAAACCTTAGCAGAGTAAATAAAGAAATCCATCTCAAAACAGAGTCCCTTCCACCAAATGGAAGAGAACCCCAGTAAAAAAAATTGATTCTAAGGACATGCACTACCACAACTAAGGAAAAGAAGCATAACCCAAAAGTTGCAACTGCTTAACCCAGAACAACTTTCCCCATCTTCAACAAGAACATCAACATCATCACAGTACTAGGCTGCAGTACCCCAAAAAAAAAAAAATCATCGTACTACTAGACTGAGAACATGCAATCAAGAAACAACAAAAAGGGAAAAACCCACATGGAATCCATCCCCAAGAAATAAAATGAAGACCCAGAAGAGGAAAAGCAAGTAGAAGAAAGAATTAAAGAAAAAGAAAGAACAAATGAAGCAATAAAAAGAGGACAGTAGTGGAGAAAGGATAAGCACCAAACCAATCAACAGGCAGAAGAGAAAAAGGAGAGACCTTTAGGATCTGATGAGGAGGCAGGAAGAAGGTGTTGGGAAGAAATTGGGCATGTCTCCCCTCTAGAAACTCTCCCGAGTCCCAACTCCAAAATTTCTTACAATATTTTTCTTGGCACCATACACAACCCTTTTAAATAAAAATGACAATAAATAAGTTGTTAAAATAAAACTAAAAACAAAAAAAGTAAACCATCACCAGTATCGTCACTTGGCCAGTCATCAGGTGCATCACCATTTTTTTTTTCCATTGTGGGCCACTTATCCAAACAGGGCCTAAGCATTTTGGCTTTATTCACAGCCGCCCTTTACTATTAACTTCCACTCACGCGCTCCGCTGGATTTTGTGCTCTCTTATTGGTCCGTGTCATTCACGGGGAGTGCAATGATGATGGCTCAGTGGAGGCCAGTCTTGTGGAAATTTGTAAATTGTATTTCTTTTTGCTTTATTTGCCCACAAAAATTATTTTATTTTCCGCAAAGCCAGGTAGAAAACGACACTGCCTTCATATTGGCTCATTACGCTAGTATAGTACTCGCATATTTTAAAATTGGAAAAAAAGTTTCATCTTTAACTGTGTCTTTGAAATTAGGACATTGGAAGCAATTAATTATATATTTTTATAATTAATTATATTAAAAAAATTAAAAAATAAATTTAATTTTATTAATTCTTTAAGATTTTCTTAATTTGCATCTTTATTAAATATATAAATATTAAATTTTTTTACATTAGTCTTTTTTTAAAAATTAAATCCCTAATTTGATCCCAAACAATTGTATGAATTCTTAATTTGATTTCGAAGCTAAAAGAATCTTTAATTTGATAGTCATTATTTACCAATTAAGCCCCAAACTGATCTTTTCGATAAAGAACAATTGAAGTGTCTGTTATTTAGCAACAAAAAATCGTTATTTAATGATTATGTGTTATGTTAATAATGAGATATGTCATTTATTTTTGTATGGAATGACCAATTTATAGCTAAATTAGTAAATATTAAGGATCAAATCAAGGATTTTTTTTTTTGTTTATAGACCAAATATAAGTTCTGTACAATAGTTGAGGAACAAATTGGGGGTTTAATCTTTTTTAATTTGTGACTTAAAAGTATAAATTAAAAATATATTTATTATTAATTTATATAAAAAATTGTGAAAGTAAATTTTACTTTCAATACCAATACCACATAGAACAATGTAATTAGATGAATGATAAAAATTTAAATTAATTTTTTTATAAATTAATAATAAAAATGTATAATAATTGTACATTTAACCTCTACTATCAAGGTATAAAAAAATTAATTTGATAACATATAAAATTTATATAAAAAAGTTGTATCTATATTATTGTCCTTAATTTTATTACTAATACAATGTAATTATCTTAATTAAACAATTGTTTAAATACAAATTAATTTTTATTTTCAATAAAATCTATTCTTCAATTAAAAGTTTTCATGCAACATTGATGATTTAAAATAAGATAAAAACTTGTGATTTTTATAAAAGTTAAATATAAAAAAATATAATTAAAATATTTTTAATATGTATACCTTAAAACACAAATTAGACAAACCCATTAAAAAATGCTTGTCATACAATAATTAAAGTATAAAATATTTATTTGTATAATATAACTTATCATTTTTACAAGAATTTGTTTAACTTGTACCTTTAAAAAAGTATTAATTATATATTTTTATAATTAATTTATATAAAAAAAATTGACTTTAAAATTATCAACTACTTAATAAAAATTATTTAAGTGGTATTGATATTAAAAATAATGTTTTATTCTTACATTTTTTTATAAAAATTTATTATAAAATAATATATTTAATACTCCTATACCTTAGGTAATTTCTTTTTGTAATTTTCCTTTTAAATTGCTCCTCTGCCGACCATCAAAATGCTGCATATTAATCCGTACATATTCTACAGTACATTCTTTTTTGCATTAATTGCAAAAACACTAGTAATTCTGAAATTAAGATTTGGAAAACCTATTAGGGTTTGGTGGAGATGCCTTGGGTTTGATTTTAGTGCCTAGATACTGCCCATTTGTACGGAAAAATTGGTATTCCAATCCCTTTAGGTCATCCCACTCAATCCAGAATATTTTACCTAGATTTTTGCAAAAGAAAAGAATATGGAAAACAAGAACACGTAGCCAACAATTTAAGGTTGAGACAGAATGGATTATGACTAAAATTTAAGTATGATTCCTTTTATGATAATGAAAGCTTAGTACTTTTGTAACTTGCTTGGATAGAATACATATTAATTCCATAATCCATAAAATCAAGAATTAATATTTAAGATTATGAAAGTGAGAATATGACATAACAAGAGTAGACATTCCTTACATGTTACAATTGTTATTAATAAACAAGAGATGATAAGAAATATACTTACTAATATACTCATTCTTTTTCTTATACATTAAATGATGGGTTAACAATAAGAAGTAGACTTTTTATTTTTAAATTTGTCTTTACTCTTTTTAAAATTCAAAGGTGAGAAGAAATCTACTTCCTTATAAAGAGTTGCAGGTGGTTTGTGGTTTATGCTCCTGTAATAATAGTTGTTTTTGGTAGGATGTAAGGGTTTGGAGTATAACTTCTGCTTTGCTTGATATATATATATATATATATATAAGGTAAAAAAAGGCATGAGACTTAATTAGGGAAAGTAGGAATTATTATAAATCAATTCATTGTGGATATTTTACCTTCATCATCTTCTCACCCCCCATTTTCGATGGTATTTACACACTAAGTAATGGTGTAATTTCTACTATCTCCATGCAATTATAATAGTGATTGACACTTTTTAATGCCATGCATTTAGATGGTAATAATGAGATTCTTTGTAACCTTTTCATTAGTAGGACATTAATTCTTGTACCTCCCATTTAGTGGAAGTTTATTTCTTGTAACTCTTATCACCTATTGACCCCTATATATAGGGTTTATACTCTTGCAAATGGATGAAGATGGAAATGTTATGAACAAATAGAGAAGAAAGGAATATAAATATAATATATCTTTGCATTGTCTTACTTTATATTTCTAATTTTTCCTCTTCTTCTAATTGATTCTTTCTTTATTTTACAACATGAATAATATTATTTGCTATTTTCACATTGTTCCATGATGTCAAATAGAATAAAAACTTTAATATTTTTGTTTGATTTGAGAGAAATGAAAAAGAAGAGAATGGAGGGGAGACAATATCCTTCACTCACTTTTCCTTCATTTCCTCTCATTTAGACATACAAAATGCACAAAGGAAATTATAGTAAAACTTAGAAACTCTTCTCTTATCATTTTTTTGTTATTCAAATAAGAATATTCTCTATCTCTCCTTCCCTCCTCCCCTCTCCTCCCTTCAAACCAAACATATTTTAAGAATTGAATCACCAATAAGCAATTAAGTGTCATTAATAAGCAAGTGTAGTTGTCAAGTCTAATATTTAAATATAAAGGCCAACACTCAAATAAAATTAATTTTCTTAAAAACACTAAATTGATGTGATAGTTTACCTTCAAAATCATACAAGAAGGGATTAATATCAAGGTGCATGACTTTAGTCTCTATGTGATCATGTTTGATTTAAAAGAAACAGAAAGGAAATAAATTTTTGAATTGATCAAACTGTAATATCTGAAAGTATTATAATTTAATTAGTTAAAAAACTCATCTTTTGTCTCTTATTCTCTTTATTTTTTTCAAACCAAACATATACTCAATATTAATGTCAAGACATTTAATTCCAACTATAAATTAAGTGAGGTCTATATTATATCTTACTTATCATGTAATAATTTTAATATTAAAACCTTTTAATTTTTTTTATCTTCATATTATTAATTATTTGATTGTGTAATTAATGTGTAATAGTAATTCATTACTTCCCAAGTATTCCTCAATTGTCTTTTTCTATTTTTTTTTCATTAAAAAATGTAGTACCACGACAAAACGTCCAGTAAGACAAATACCCATTGTTTCTTCCACCCAAGCAATGCCAGTTAATAATCCTAGTTTTTTTAACCAAACTTTCATTTTCATTACCATCATTCCTGTAAACCTATCTTCATTCTCTGTACCGAAAGAAAGTTAAAACTGATTCTTTGTACCAAGTGAAAGTCAAATTAATTCTTTAAATAATAAACCATATAAAAATCTGCCTAACAAATTTAAACCTCGGAAGCAATGAATAAATGGTCCAACTTAAGCAGCGAATCCCCCAGGTTGCATTCTGCCCTCCCTTCAACATGGAGGGTGCCGTTATTTTAGGCACAATTAGCTTAGTCGTTTATGTTGTTATGTAATCTTTTCCATTTAAGTTCTCTGAACTTCTATATTCGTCTGTACTTAGACTCTATTGTTATGTTTCTAATCTAATTTACTATTCACTAAACAATATGGTCCAACACTTAGAGTAGAATCCAAACTCATTCCCTTTTCATTTGTGTGGGGTTGTCTTTTCTTTTCTTGCATAGGGAAGTAACACTATGATTTATTAGAAGGGAAAAAATTTTGCAAGTGGCGTGTGTT